GTTGGGGTTCTCACTCTGTCACCCAGGCTGGAGTACAATGGCATGATCACAACCCCAGCTTCAGCCTCCTGGGCTTGGGTGATTCTTCTGTCTCAGCCTCCTGAGTAGCTGGAACTACAGGTGTGTGCCACCAAGCCTAGCTAGTTTATTTATTTATTTATTTATTTATTTTTGTTATTTGGTAGAGATGAGGTCTTGCTATGTTGCCCAGGCTGGTTTTGAACTCCTGAGCTCAGGCACTTCTCCCACCTTGCCTCCCAAAGTGCTGGGATGGCAATGTGAGCCACTCACCATGCCTAGCCATACTCTCTCATTTAATTTCAATTATTCCTCACAACAACTTTGGGAAATAGTACTATATTATGCTCATTACTCACACGTGGAAACTGAGGCAGAGAGGCAGTGCTCAGGAAGCAGACAATTCAAATCTGTTGCCTTCATAGCCCAAGTCTGGCTGAGTGTCCACTGCTGAGTGCCAGGCCTCTGATACAATTTTATCTTCACAACAACTTGCAAAATAAGCCTTACTGTCCCCATTTTAAAGAAGAGTAAGCTGAGGTTCAACAAAACATGTGATTTGTCCAAGCTTATACAACTAGAAAGAATCAGAACCCAGATTCAGGACAAGGTCTGAAGGGCTGCCAGGCCCTTTCCCTGACGCCAATGAGGTCAGAATATAGACAGAAGGGGAATGACTTTCCCTCCATCCACGGTCCCAGATGCCTCAGAGGCTGATCGACTGGGCTGATGGCCGTGTGACCACTGCAACCATCACTCTTTGTCCACTTTGGGACACTGGGGTTTCTGTGGAATGGAGTCCACTACATTCCCAGCATGGCACTGAGGCTGTTTTAACACTGATAACAAACTTGTCAGGCCTGAAGTTGTCACCTCATCCTCCGCCACAGCCTGACTACATGAAAGTATCCCCGGTCAGGACTGGATTGGTCGTGTTCGGGCCTGAAGGAAAAAAAATGAAGCCAGTGGCATGGAAGTGGATTCTTTCAATTAATAACTAGCCCTTGACTGCAGATAGAACCACACAGTCAAGGCATGATACATACTCTCTCATTGAATTTCAATTATTCCTCGCAACAACTTTAGAAAGTATACCATGTTCTCCCCATCACACAGATGGGGTGGCTATTTATTTATGGCAAGAATCACAGTAAAGTCCAGTCTACAGATCTATCCCAGAAACTCTTTAAAGTCAGAAAGAGCTACCAGGAAGCTTGTTGGTATAAGGACTTCTTGATACCCAGAGGAAAAGTATCAGAGCTGATTGGGACACTGACTTAAACAAGGGTGGAGAGAGAGACTCTGGCATAACTCCTAGGGAGAAACGAAGTGGGGAGAGAAACCATCTCTGTCTGTCCCCACTCTCTCATGACATCTCTCCTGGCCTCTGTAAGGGCTGGCCTCATGAGGGCGGCTCCCCACATAAAGAAATCTCTCAAGACCCAGCCCCACCCCTTTTCCCTCTTGATGAATCTGTGGAATTTCTGACATACCTCGAGCTGATATCTAGGGGAATGGTGAACACTGGAGGCTCACTGTGAGACAAGATGGTGGCATCCTACAACTTCCTGGCCTGGGACATGAACCCGAAAGACCAAGGCCATTTGGAGATCAAAGAGTCATAGTCCTATGTTCATCCATCTAATCAGCAGACACCTGTGACTAAGATAAAGCACTGAGGTTCTGAGGGAGTTGGGGCTCCCTTGCAGAGAAGAGTCAGCCAGGCCATGGCAGGGGCCACCAAGATACCGGGGGGGGGGGCCATCCCATCATGCTTTCAGGATGGCCCAGCACCAGGGCTGTCCCAGAGCCCCAGGAGAGGCAGGAGGAAGTTCCCAGAAGACCACACTCTTCCACATGGAGAATCAAGAGAACAGGAAGGGGAGCTGTCCCACCCACATTCCTTCTAGTCATGCCCATCCATTCCATGGATAGACTTTTCTGACACAGTGAGTCTTTCCTCAGTTGATCCAGTCACCCTTCCTGACTTTCAACCACTCTTAGGATTAAGATCAAACTCATGACTGTGGCTTCCAGGACCATGCAGGAGCCCTGTATACCCCTGTAACTCCAGTTTATTCCATTGTGCACCCCTCCAAGCTCCCTGGAACTCAAAGTCTGAATATTTTATAGCCTGTAAATTCCACGAGGACTAAGTTGATGCTTAATCAGTATTGGTTGATTGGTAGATTGGGTGGGTGGGTGGTTGGTTGGTTGGTTGACTGGCTGCCTGAAGAGCCAATCTTCCAGCAACAAAGTCAGGTGGGGGCTGAAGCAAATCACTTCTGTGATTGCAGCCCAAGTTCTTATTTTCCTTACGGATGGGATGGCATAGAAAGACAGGGTACAGTTTGGGCCTCAGTATTAAATGTTAACAGCAACAAAGGCTTCTATCAAAGCCTACTAAGCAGACCTCCGAACAGAAGCAAGTTTCACTGATTCAAATGGTCTTTTTAAAAAGTGGGAAAGAAGTCAACAAATGAATGTAAGAAATGAAATTTTACCATTCATCCAGCCTTGAGATGACTCCGAGGAATACCACCAATTGGATTTTTCTGTTCCCTCCCTTTTGAAATGATGGTACAACCAGGGGTCAGGAAAATGAGGAAGGGTCCTGAGGGAAACACCTTGCCCTGCTGCCAGTCGGGTGCCGGCACAACCCCATATGTGTAGAGAGGCTTCCTGAGTCAGCCTTGGTCAGGGCTCCCTGCCAAGCAGTGTCTGGCCACAGCCCCAAGTGGAAGAAAAACTTATCTCATTTCTGATAGAACTGGATACGTGGCCATTTTTATTTGGTTTCTTCTCTATGATGGTAGGCTCCACAACCCAGTTCCACAGGACGGAGTTTAAACACGGAATAACCCGGGGGACTTATAAGGGGCCGGATGCCAGGTGAGTCATAGTTGGTGAGGCCTGATTAAATGCAACGCTGGCACTCCAGTGTGGATAAGGAAGGATTTCCCTGATGATAGAGGGAGAGATCCGGCCCCGGATTTAAAGAGGTGGCACTGATGAAGTAGCAGCACATGAGAATTGAGCACGTGTTGGTAACAAGGCCGGTGACCTGGCGCAGGTTTATTCCTTAAGCAAACTTGCGTCAAACTGTATGTACATAATACCTTTTAACCCTAGAATTTTCAGATTCACTGTGAGAGTGGTGTTTCTTCCAAGGAAATGAGTTTTACAATATTTTCCAATCCTTATGCCCACGGACATCATGCCTGTCTGTCCTCTGCTCAGATACTCAGCCAGAGAGATAAACAACTGTTGCTTAAAGACCTGCTGTGGGAGCCCTAAACGTTGTGTGATAAGATGGGAGATTGAACATACATTCTATGAGTTTCACTTTTGACTAAGCTCACACCCTCTGTGCAGGATGAAGTGGTTTACTTCCAGTGCAGGATCTTCATGTTTATTATCTTAAGTTCTTAGTGTCTCCTACCAACTAAGAAGTTCTGCTATATGAAAAAGAGTTTATTTTAATGTTCCCAAATTTGAGTCAGTCTTGGTTATCCAGAGGTGGATTGCTCAGTTTCAAAGCTTAAGTATGGCTATATATATATATATATATATATATATATAGAGTGTGTGTGTGTGTGTGTGTGTGTGTGTATAAAATAAAATTTAAAAATAGTTATTGTTGGGGTGATCATGGAATAGGGAGAAAGAGATTGAGCCAATTAAAAAAAATCAACAAGTAGAAAAGGGAATTGTTTGAAATTACATAGTGGCTTTTAGATGCCACATTTTGTCTGCTGAGACATGGGAAGCCCTGAGAGTATACCTTGCTGGATGACCTTATTGCTGATACTAAGGGGAAGTGTCATGCAGATGGCTGTGAGTTCCAGTAACACAACCTTGGGGCCTGAGCATGAAGCAGCATTGTCCCCGGCTGCTCAGGGGAGTCACCTGAGAGATTTTAAAACCACAGTATTTAGGGATGTCATCTGATGGCATCAGGATTACGCACAAGCTCCCTGGGTGAGTCCACTGTGGGCTGAGGATGGGGGATGCAGGTAAGGAAGGTGGGGGGGGGGCGGGAAGCAGGCACCTGGGTGTGAACATTCCATTCAATTCAGAAACCAGGAGAGGAACCAACCCTTGGAACAGTCACATTCTGCACCAAGCGTTGTATAGAATGTTCAGCATTCGGGAAACGACTGTACTTACACCATAGCGATGCCTCCAGACGACATCTCTAAATACTGGATGCAATCTAACTGCTAAGCTGATAGTGAATGCATTTCAAAATCGCCACATCTTGTGTTATTCACAACCTCTTCTTCCCATTACCCTGATGAATTGAAACTCCAACACAGCCATAGTCACTTACTTTAATTCCTTGTGAGCCATGGCCAGGGGGTCCAGGCGGGCCAGGCAAGCCTTTCTGCCCAATGTCACCCTGTTGGAAATCAGGAGAAATTGAAGACAATGCATGAGAAGGTTGAGGAAGAAGCAACACAAGTATTATTGTTCTCAACTTCGTTCTTCAGTCTGACCAGAACCTCATGCTGCCCATAAGCTACTTCCTATTTTACTTCAAGTAGAGTTTCCCCCATATTTCTAAGCCATAGAATTCTTTGCATATACAATCTTACATATATTCCAATTATTAATAAAGAGGTAAACTGGATGGGTGCAGTGGCTCACATCTGAAATCCCACGATTTGGGGTGGCCGAGGTGAGAGGAATGAGGCCAGGAGTTCAAGACCAGTCCAGGCAACATAGTGAGATCCCATCTGTATTTTAAAAAATCAAAATAAATTTTCAAAAAAGAGGTCAACCAAGCTACTTGGCCTGAGCTGAGGTGGAGTCTCCTCTGCTTGGGCTCCCCTCGCTGCCTTACCACCAACCCCTGGAGCACCAGGGCTGCCCTGCACCAAGTTGAAAACCAGACACAGGACTCTACATAGTCCATGACATGTTGTTGTTCCATTTCAGTATAGAGCGCTGATTCACTGGAGTCACGGTTAAAGATTCAGCAGATATTGATGTGGATTGGTTTTTGAATGTTTAAGAACATATGTAGGTGAAGTAACAAGCAAGTTCACTTCCCAGTATGTGTTTGTAAGCTGACCCCATGTTTCCTGGAAAGACTTTGTAGTGGAATAAGGTTGGAAAACAACATGTGCCTTCCCTTGAGATCTCCCGTACATATTAATACAGAGCAGTAAAGACTCGAAGACATCCCACGATAAAGCAATTAGTTTAACTTTGTAGCCCAGAAATACCCAAATTAACAATGGATAGAAGAAGCTTTGAGAAATGCTATTATAAGTTACTTTATAAATCAGTCTTTTTCCTTCTAGTATGAAGAAAAAGCTTAATTTTTTCCAATTGTGAGAGGAATACATGCCCACTACAAAAGAATTTTTTCTTTTTTTTTTGAGTTGGAGTCTCACTCTGTCGCCCAGACTGGAGTGCAGTGGCCGCTTCCGGCCACCGCAGCCTCGACCTGCTGGGCTCTGGCGATCCTTCAGCCTCAGCCTTCCAAGTAGCCGGAATTACAGGCATGCACTACCACACCCGGCTGATTTTTTATTTATTTATTGTAGAGATGAGGTCTCG